ATCTAAACTCGCGCTCGAGCATCTACTAATTTATCGTGTGAACGAATTAAGAACTTCGTTCGCGAACTAGGAAGAGACCGCGGAAATTGGCATGGAGCCAGTAGGAACTTTGCACTCCCACGTTCTCGATCACACAATGTACGACTATTTCAATAATCTTTATTATGTGAAACGAAGCTAAAATTGATGTAAGATTCTTTCGTTTTCGTTTGCATTCGACGATTAAAATCTTCAAATAGAATTTTATGTGAATTTAATGATGGCACAAATAAACATTTTTTTTCAAAATCAATGATAAAATACAAATTTTTGAATGAAGATATTATTTAGAATGAAGACATAATGATAATTTTACAATATTTATTCATTCTCTTTGAACAAGTTGTATTTTCTTGCTCAATTAGAATGCATCCAAATAGACTCCACGTTATGTTTGCCGAAGAAATATGAAGCATTTTGGAGATTTTAGATAGGTTTATTTGCGTTATTAGTTAGCACTCTATTAGAGACTATTTAGGCAACTCTAAAAATGAAACTCTTATTAAGTACGTTATAATGCATGATAATTAACAGTTCTATTCTCATATATTACGAAGTTTACAATACAAATATTCATTGTAATATCCGAATATAATTATGTATTCATAAATTTTCTTATATTATAAATATGTTACAATGTATGGAACACAACAAATAGAATTAAGACATAAAGAACATGAAATGATGCAATACAATTGATATGAAAAGAAAATATTAGATATACATAAAATTGCTTGTAAATATATCTAAAGATTTGTATAAAATATAAAAAAACATAAACACTGTAAATAGAGATTAAATAAAAAAATATTCAATAATTATTATTTCAATTTTATGAGATAAGTATTAGATTTATCATGAAGGGTATTAAAAGAATAAAGAATGTGTGTTTCCTTAATTTCCAAATTTGTAATATTAATCAAATTTTTTAGAACGTAACATAAATTGCGTTATTGTTCATCACGCGCCCGTATGTTTACTATGGACCTATCGTTCTGGCAAATTGCTAGAAATACCAATCGTGCTGGCGCTTAAATAACTCCGTAATTGATGACCGTTGCAATTAGCGAAAGGGCGACGAGTCTCGTCTCGCAACGAAATGTTTTCGTACGCTTATGTATGTGCGAAACTGCTCACGTCACGCTAGTAGCTCTTGACAAATCTTACCGTTGAACTACGCGTCGCGTTTGCTAAACACTGGTGCTCGTACAATTTACGGCTTCTACGATGACCGGTTTGAAGTTGCAAAATAAAGAAGATTGGTTTTGGAGCGTTGTATTGATAAAATGCTTCCGGAATCGCAGTAATCTCATTGCAAATCAAGAGCAATGTAAACCTGATAATTTGCATAACACGAATCTGTCCGCCCGGCTTATTTGTACTTATCTATGCGCTTACAAAAAGGATTCTTATCTATATATTTGCAAGATTATCCAGAAGCAGGATGTACGTGTGTTGCGACATTCTTCGATAATTAATTATCTCGTTCGCGCGATATCTCTGATCTGGCTTATCACGTTAGATATCGATAACTTTAACGCCATATATGTATACTTTTCCTCTTATTCAAGTGATTGAAATATTAGTACGACACGTATACAGGCATTTAAATTAAATCCACACATAAACATAATATACGTGCTATAAATAATAATTTGCATCCATTTCATGTTCTTGCGACAGCATGACATACTGTGTCAGCTTTTCCGATTTACATATTATAGAAGTTTAGATCAGGTTATTTTACGAATTTTATTTTTGTGTATATTATTTTCATTCAGTGCAATACTTCAATTTTTAAAAATGTACATTACGTTACGAAATTTCCGCGACTATTATTTCTTGCATATAAAAGAGATCGTTATTGCACGAGGGAAGACGTCAAATTTATTGCATCTTTAGCTTGCTCACATTAGCGGCTTCGTTACATGTCTTCATGATTAGAGGATGGATATTCATTGGTAGAAGTCAATAAATCCAAATGATGGCACGACGCACGTCGACCCTGACCGGCGGCCAAGAAGCTCGCTGTTGAGTAAATAATGGCCGTGGAATCGTCGTTTCCGTTTATAGAGAGATAGTTTATAGAGCTGTGACTCTCTAGCAACCATGCGCGATGGAAAGCGGAGAAAGAAGTGGAGAAGAGGCCCGGTGCGATGCAGCTGCGGCTGCAGGACAATGCGCTCGATAGGTTTCTGTATATTGACGTCAGCTTACCATAATCTCGATTGCGTCAATAGAATAAGTACACGTATATAAACGAACATCTTTTGCATGAAACTTGAGTCTGCAGGAAATTTTTAGATAAAGTCTAGAAACTTGGTCCAGATTGATTTTTAGCTCTCTTTAGATCTGAAGTCAATATCTTGGAGAATATTTGATTTGACACATTTTTAAAAGCCTCAACTACAGACAAGCGAGTTCGTTTGTATCCGAAGCGAAATTTTTACTGTTTATGCGATTGATACTGATAAGGTTCTAAAAAGATTTTGAATCTTTCTTCATTTTTTTCAGTCGTAAAAGTGAAGTTCTTGCAATCTATACTTCAAACAGGACGCTAAGATATGGTTGAGGATTAATGAATGTACATTTAAATTTTAACATTCTGATTTTTACAGAATTCATTTTATGAAATTATTTTAAAATACTTTAAGAATAAATTAAAAGTTCAATAAAAATGTGATTCTTTTCGATAAGTATATATTTTTTCTGAATTTTATATAAATAAAACAAGCAACAAAAGATAAAGAAGAGCAGCAGTATTTCGATGTAAGTAAGATAATTTCAAGGGGAACTGCGTTCTCCGGCGAAAAGAATCTCACGTATTGCGGTTCAGACTTCCACGAAGGCCGAAAGGCGAAAAGTCTTGGTCCAAGCTTTATGATTGGCCTGTTACACGTATCAGTAGATTCTCCAAGCAAGTATCTAAACTTTCATCTCTTATAATTCCTGTTGAATTCATGGTTTGCGTGAAATGGCATGAAAAGGAGAACACATGTTTCAAATGAAGAAAGACCTTTCGTGACCTCTTTCTGTCGAATAACTTATCCACAATATGTTTCTCGGAACATATGTTATTTCAAAATCGAATTATTCCCATTTTCTGTATTGAACAAGTAATTTATACTTTGGATCTTATTATAAGTTCAATTATACTTGCACGATTTTATATTTCAATCGCTATTAACGTTTGTCGACTTAAAAGCTTCATAGAATTAACGAAGTAACAGATTAGATGCACAAATACTATTTTAATGATGGCATCAACAATCGTGCTTTCTCGATAAGGAAATTATTGCTGCGTTCTGTCGACTTTCGCGACAAAAAAATGATCTAACGGACTCTAATGACCACTGGACAGAGCATGTCATAGTGTAAGCTGCAATCGATCGTCGCTTTTACATTGCAGTCTCATCGATATGCGAAAGAACCTAGAGGAACTGGTCCTCTTAAGGTAACTTGCGTCTCCTTACGCTGACCGACTATAAATATTTTGCTCAACTGTACGTCCTTTATGGTGAGCTCACGCATGTCCTTATACTCTGAAAGGACCTTTGTTATCTTCTTATGCACAAGACAAATTACAGCGCGTTTATGAAATGAGAAGGCTTGGGTAGTAACTAGTTAAAAGTTAAAAAAAAAGTTAAAAAGTAATAAGTTAATAAGTTTTAACTTAACTTAGTTAATTTTAAATGCATTAAATTTTAACTTAAGTTACTTTTAAACGTTAACTTTTTAATTTTTTTTTAAGTTAAAAAATTTTTTTATCTCTTTTAAATATCTTAGAAAAATAATAAGATGTAATAAGATTAAGAGCGTATATTCGTAATCTGTTCATATTTTAAGATCATCTTAAGTAATTTTTTAAGATAATACAGCCCTCTGATTGGTTTACGCTGTTATGCCATAAGCCTTAGTCTGGATCTACAATAGATGTTTTAAGCCTTAAGTCATTGATCAATTATAGTCAAATATTCTTCTCGCATTCGATTGTAATTAGTCAATTTGTTATGGCTTAAAAAGTAATCACTGATCTTGTATCTTCTCTATGTGCTGGCTGTTTTTTTTAAGTTATATAACTTATATAATTATATCACATATTAATAAAAAAAATTAAAAATTTAATTTACTTAATAATCTATATTGTATTTATTTAATATCATTTTAAGAAAAATTAGGACATTTTGATCTAAAAATAATTTTTTTCAAAATTAACTTTTTTTTAACTTAAGTTAATTCAATATTGACTTAATTTACGTCAAGCTAATTTTTTATTCCTTCAACTTTTAACTTAACTTTATTAATTTTGTAAAGCCATTAATTTTAACTTTATTCAATTAAAAAAAAACACTTAACTTACCCAACTCTCGAAACCAATTATTTACTCACTTTTGAGTTTGACACGTGCCATGTCACATATTAAGTATTAAGTAATTTTATCATTCGATAAATGTAATTTATCGAATTTATCCTAAAATTACCATATTCTTTGTGAAATAGTATTAAGAATACAAATCTACAAAATAATTTACAGTAATTGAAAAACTATCAGCATTTTAGATGAATAATATTTTAGTTTACAAGTGTACAAGTTGTACAATTTATGTAGATAATATTTTATTATACAAACTATATGATATAATATAATATTTTTAATATAATTTTTTATATAATGAAGAATAGCTCTGTTAGTTGATAGAAATTTATTTAAATTAAGTTTATTATGTCTGGAAAAAAATTTTCGAACCAAGAAAATTTTATATATAATAGAAAAAAAGTAAGCAAAATGTTTTTCTGAAAAATAACGAAATTCTTCAGAGAAGAATTTACTTAAATCAGAAATAGATTTTCTCGTATAATCGATGTACCGTTCGAAATTATTGTACCTACTATATTATTGTATTTATGATAAAGAGAGAAAATATCAATCCTTTAATCGTAATCTTTTAATCTCGTTTCAGCTGCACATCAAAATACGTGGGTGAATACTGTCAACATTTGAACCCATGTTATACGGGGTCGCGCTGTCAAAACGGCGGTTCATGCAGGGTGCGCGAGGGCATTGGAGGTGGCACACCATCCTTCACATGTTCATGTCCAGTCGGTTTTACTGCCAGCCTCTGCGAAATTCCTATCGAGAACGCTTGTGACTCTTCGCCCTGCCTCAACGGTGCTACGTGCAATCTTAAATCGTTGCACGAATATGTGTGCACGTGCAGCATCGGATTCACAGGTCAGTAAAGTTCATATTTTTATGCTTGCGACTAGAAATCGCTACAATTTCGAATAAATTCGGGTTTATAGTGTGCGCGAATAATCTCTACTTTTATTTTACTTTTATTGGGAATAATAAGATTTGTTGAGTTGCGATTTAAATTTTGTTCATTAAGATTTGCTGCAAAATTAATGTAAGATTAATGTCAATGATTAAGCGTAGCGATAAAATGATCAAAACTAACTCGTTGTCAAAGATGTTAAAGGAAAGCTATGCGGATTCTTAAAGGGGAATAATTGCATAAGTCCGACAATGAATAATCGTACGTTAGTCATCGAATACTTAAATATGCTTATCGATTCGTGTGGGTTGAATAGCAAGGTTAATAGACGTGACGATAACGTGTTGCAATTAACCAGTTCACATTGTCATAAAGACGCGTCATAAAGAAACGTCGAGACTAAGCTATAACTGTAAATTTGCATTGAACTATTATTAAAAGATACTCTACATGTATTACAAGTGTGTGCGCTTATGTAGTTATGTGCGTCCAATATTAGATGACAGACTTAATTTGACAGACATCAATTTTTTAAATATAAGTGTTATCTTGATTATTTGATATAACCGTTATATCGGGTTATTTTAATTTCAATATGTAAAATTTATGTACATCACAGAAGTCGATGCTGAGATACGATTATATCTTTCTCACACTGTTCTTCAAGATAAAATACTAAAGCACGTGCTAGTATGCTTGACGAATAAATAAATTTAGAAATATGTAAACTTTCAAAAGAAAAGCAATGAAAAATTGAAAAAGGGATAACAGAAGAAAGAAAAGGTATAAGTTTAAGTATGCGTTTATAAGATAATTAGCGAAGAATCATGCCGCTACCTTTGGACGAGTGGTGCTCAGTTTCGTTGTATTTTCAATGAACTCTGAATGATTTTTGGAGAGGCAGTTTACGATTTTAAGATAATAGTAGCTCGTTTTATATATTACTATTTATTTTTGTTGACATTGCATGTTAATTAATTTTCTTAAATTAAGTATTGAGTTATGTAAATTTTATCTAAAATATTTTTATTTACGAAGTTTGTAGAATGTAAGTTATGTATAAATACATGTACATAAATCTCGTTATACTCATGATTTTGATATATGAAATATATGATCTTTAATGAATAAACAGAGAAGAGAAAAAATTTTTTAATATATTTGAGTATAAACAATGAGCACCGCTAAAGTTATAGCTGTTACACGGCGCAGATCGCAGAAGCAAGACATCTTGACCGCGAGAGAACAAGTAGCGACTCTGGTAATTAGTTCCACTAATCAATAAGCCCGAGAAGAAAAGGGAAAGAGAGAGACGCTTACCTTAGATACATGCTCCGCTATCCGGGATAACCGCCATCTTAAGAGATATCTCTACTTGCGGACCGAATGCTAGTCGGCAAGAAATACCGAGTTAATTTATTCTTATCTTCGCTGGGATCTTCGTCTACAAAATTTTATTTTAACATTTTTTGCGCTGCAACCTTAGAGGTTCCAAGAATTTTACGATAATCTAGCGAGTAAATGTTGAAGCTCTCGAAAATATGCAGGTTTTCAAGTCTTGATCATCTTTTGAATAATTAAAATAGTAAATGTAATTTTTTTGTACGTATGTAAATAAAACTCTTGTCATTTTAATGAAATAATTACGATTTACGATGAAATAATTATGATTTTTTAGCTCGTAATATTTAACAATGCTCATATCAAACTGATGATAAAATTCTTTAGATTAATTTCAATACATTTATCTATGTATTTTTTATTGAACTAGTATAACTGATTGTGTGAAACTATAATATAATTTTCTCGTTTTCTGTTATCACGATCAATACTGTTATTCTATACGTTTCAATGCTCAATTTTTTGAAGTTTCCAACATAATAAATGTATGTAGAAATTAATCGAAAACGTTAAAATGAAGAACCTAAAATACTTATTAAATACTTTTATAATAATTTTTTAAATAATTTTCTTAAACTCATGTATTTAATAACAGGAAATCTATTATTATAGAAAATTTTTTATTTTTACTTGTTCTCTTGACTTTTGTCTGGATAACACATGTTACAATTTTATATCATATAAATTAATGTAAAATAAAGTTTTTAATTCTTGTTATCGTTCCTTTTTGTAATTTGCTGTAAACTTGCTACTTTTGGAATGACTGATCTATATGGAGGTGGAGATTAGTCATTTGGCTAAACAACGAAGAAACAAATTTCGGCAACTTCCAATTTAATTTCAACATTGTCGCAATATTTTGTCAAGACATTTACAAAAAGTATATCTACGAATTTGCTGAAGTTGGTTTGAAAAAAACCGAAACGTCCAAATAAGGTGATACCGACAATCATTGCACAATCTTTATATACAATATTATGTAAATATTATTTGATAATTATATTTTATTGCGCAATTTCCGCAATTGTGTTGATCCTCCCATTGCCCGATATAGTTTTTAATTTCGAGAGCCCGATTAATATTTAAATTTGACATCTTTATTTTTAATTTTATTGTTTTAATTTAATATTTTCGTATCTAAGAGTTAGAATTTTGTTAAAGTAAAATCCGTTTGAGAAAATATAAAGTAAGATGAAGTCACTTAAAAAAATAAGTGAATGTATATCGAGGAGGCTCGTAGTTTTAAATTGAATCGCGATTTGAGTTCTCTCAATATGACATTGCAAATCGTGCGACTTTTCGGTTATACTTAACGAGAATGTGCATCGGTGTAAGACGTTGGACAACATCGTTCCTTTTTTTTTTTCAGGTGACCATTGCGAGCGACAGGATTACTGCGCTTCATCACCTTGTCGAAACGGGGCCGAGTGTCGTTCGCTCGAGAACAGCTACGAATGTACGTGTGCACCTGGCTTCACGGGTCCAAATTGTGCGGATGACATCGACGAGTGTGAGAGGGACCCGTGCAGACATGGTACCTGCAACAATATTCACGGATCTTACAGGTAAGTCGGACGACATGTTGCTCTGCAACACATTGTACGTATTTTTATCGCGCTTCCAAAATGATCACATGACGTGTGTATCGAGACAAGCATTTTGATCGAAATTCAGGGACGTTTTTAAATCAAGTATTTTAAAACGGGCACAGAAGATACTACATAATTATCGATGGAATGCTACTTTCGAGGTACTCGAGAAACCAGACTTTCTAATTATTTTTTATGTATTCTTCTTCTTGTTCTTTTTCACACAATGTCTTTTAAGATAATTTATTCAGCTTGTTAAATATTAACGTCATATTTACTCGGCGAGTACTTAATTATTTTTTATATGAAATTAAGACTTAAATTAAAATTCCGTTAAAATGAAGCGTATACCTGAAATTTATTCAAAAATAAAAGATCTTGTTACCGATATTAACTCGTTGAATAGAGGAAAGGAAACCCCTATTATGAGATACCGAGTTCATTTTGGGTAAATTTGGCTAGAAATCTATAGGCAGAATTTTAAAAAATAATAGGTCATTTTGAAGGGAATTTAATAAGCTTTAAGGTAATGTTACATAAAATTTAATTCAAATTCCATTTTTTTTTTTAAATTAAAGAAATGTAAAAAGTGAGCAAATCGCAAAGTCAAAAAATTGTGCTCCTAATATGAGATACCCCGAGAAATCGATAGTAAAAATATATCAGTATTGCAATTAGAAAACTTTATTTAATGTTTCTAAAATACAAGCAAACACAGCCAGCATGCGCGAAAAATGAGCAAGCGCTAGATTATACCCAAAACTCGTTTTCAGGTTGGAAATCAAGCATCGCAGGTATTCATATTCGATATTCATCCCAGTTGTCTTATTTTATTATTGTACAATAACATTTATACTTTAGCAATGATTTTCACTATAACATAGGAGCAATATTTCATATTGGAATATCCTGGATATCTCATATTACGAGTTCTACGCCTTACGATCATCAAATCTAACTTCTGTAATTAAACAATTCAACCAACATATCCCGTATTTTTCTATTAGTATGACTTTACTCTATCACTACATGAAGAATTTATTGCCAAATATTTATTTATTAAACAAGATTTGAAGGCTCATTTCAATGAAATTTGAAGACATCCAAATTCTAAAATCTTGTTTTATCGTACAATGACTACAAACATGATCTAACAATGAATTTTCTATTAAACAGTTTTCAATCCAAGAACAATAAATTCATGGTGGAACCAATAGATAGCGTTTATTAGCAGAAACGCCGCTATCTCTTAATATTAGGAGGCTTTCTTCTAATAGTCGCCGTTAATGCATTTTAATAATAGAAACGTTGTAAATGTAAATACGCTAGAAAGAAATGGTCGACATGAACTATCTGAAACCGCCAGCGCGTATATTGAGGCGAGGCCACAGCTCGGTAGCCAGGAATCTCTCATTTGTCCGGGGTTGAAGTGTGCATCGCGTGAACGTGCATGGTCACGATCGGCCTGCGGATAATCAATTCTACGAGCAATCGGGATCTGCATATGTGAACCCCCCCCCCCACCCCCCACCCCCAGAGAGAGCTGTGGATCTATACAAAGATCGATGCGAATGAATAACAACGGTCGCGATCGTCACCGACCGGTCTTTTGAAAATATCCGAGTGCATCCAAAGATATGCATTTTGGCGCAGGTGGAGGAGGACATGCCGACGCCGCGGTGTCATTGGTTGTCTCCTTGTCGTAATTACCAATTGAACACGGTCGCCGGTACTCGAAATGCGTAACGACGCGAGGCAACGAGAATTCATAGATTCGATTTCATGGTCCATTACTGATTTACTCCTAATTCGGCGTTTCGTCACGTTGAAAATTACCTCCGTTCCGCTCGCAAAGTCTGACATGCAATCATGCTCTGATCGCAAGATGTACGACAATGATGAGGAATGATGTCGATCGAGGAAGTAGGTATCGGAGAAAGTTGAACGTTTTTCTCAATACACAATTGTCTCCGAATTTTTTGAGAGCTATTGAAGAAGGAACGATCAGAATATTCAACTCGCATATATTTCCACATAATCATAGAGAAATCTGGTAACGCGACAGGTATAAGTATAATGAAGCGATATTAATAAAAATTAACTTCTCGGAAACTATGAGAATGAAAACATAAAAATCAAAAGATGGAAGATCATAAGATTAACAATTTTGCTCAAGATTTGCACGAGTTGTCCTGTTAATAAGGATCGATAGAAAGATATAATAAATAGAATCTCTGGGTGAGGAGAAGATGTGACGAGAGAAAAAGAGAGTGAAAAGAAAATTCACCATGAAAAAGAAACAAGTTCGTCAAAAAAGCAGATTTAAGTAGGGGATTTAAGGCCGTGCGAGGAGACTATAAATCCGCTCTTCGTTGAGATCGAGTCGAGATTAATCGAAGCCCGAGTCCGAGCTGACTGCACCGGACCAGATAATGTCGCTGGTCCCTACATTACATTGAATTATATTGGAGCAACGTCGGTGCATTGCGTGTATGCAAGAACGTGCGTGTAGAAAGACGCCCCGTCTACTTTAAAGTTGCTTACAGTGAGTGGCGAGAAAAGGCTTTGTCGGCGCATCGACAACATTCGTTCTTTAGCTGGGACTACTCGATATATTCGTCTTCATTCTGTCATTGATTTTCAGAGCTGCGCGAGTGAAAAGTAACTATTGCAAAATGATCAATGGTTTACTACGTTAAACCGGCAAACTCATTTTGTAAAATTAAAATACGCTTATATCCAATTTTGAAAATATTTTATCGAGTCTGTAATTAAATGTTTGAGTTATAACAATGAACAATTAAATATAATCTCTCGGAATTTAAATAAAAGAATGATTTTTTTAAAACTACTGAGCATCTGTTTCATTATATATACTTTTTTTCAATACAAATGTATGAAGAATATTTCAAAGACAGATAATAAATTCGAAGTTTTGACATAGCAACGTGATTAGAAATATTGCAGTTACGTGTTACTCATGCGATGCATGTATACGCTTGCGACACATACAGTTTCTCATGAAGATAATTATGAGGGACGAATTAGCATAAAAAAAGGTCATCGTGGTGCTTTTGATCACACAAGATATTATCTGTTAAAATTGCAAAATTAAAGGAGAAACAACGTGAGATATAAAAAAATCAAAGTTCGATTGTTTAAAAAATATTGCAGAGGAGTTAATCATGATGTTACATTCTTCTTGGGCTTTATTAATTCCATGTTTTCCTTCTTCATATTTTGGTAAGTGTTTCGTTTGCTATAATTATTGAAAAAGATGTAGAAAACGCACCTGTATTTACATTCACAATGTGGTTATAAAAATCATAAAATATATTTTAATGAGTTGTTTTCTCTAATTGTTGCACTTATAATAGTACTTTCTTTATTATTTTCTGTATTTAATAAAGTAAATATATGTCAGGAGTTTGAAATTAAATGTAAAGGAAAAAGAAAATTATTAGAAAGATATATTAAAAAGTATCAAGTCTTGGAAGTTGAGTAAGTATAAAAAATATATTATTTTTTCTTCGAAATAATGCAGTAATATATTAAATATTTGTAAAATATTATATGGAAAAGGAAAAGGGGAGAATCTGTTTGAATAAGAATTAATGTCAATGCAATGAAGACTTTAAAATGTATGCATTTGTAGATGAGACGAGAACATTCTGCCGATATTGCACGATGTACGAGCAAGCGGGGCCGCACAGTAACGTTTAATCGGGCTTAATAAAGACTTTGATGTGCATACCTGACCGCCAGGTGGTGTCGGTTGGAAATACTATGCTATTAAATTGTTACGTAGGATCGGTACCCGGATACCGTAATGCCGCCGCCGCGCCGTGACGTGAGGGTGAAGAGCGAGAGGTGGCAGACTGTTTCATAAGCGCGAAATTTCAACGTGAAAAATAATTAAATACCGCGAATACATACGAGTCCGCGAAATCTCGTCAGGCATTATCTGGGCACTGCCACCGCCACCACCGCCGCCGCATTGGACCGAAACACCCGTGAAATGCGGAGAATTTTCCTTCGACCGTGCCATGGCAGCGATCGATCTATGGGGGTATGCAAGAATGCGAGTGTGCGGGTTTTTTTGTTTCGCACGGACGACTGGCTCTTTACTTCTTTCGCGAATTGCATAACCGGTGCATTTCTTCTCTTATTATCCTTCAAGCGTGACGAGCTAAATTTCTGCACTGGAATTCTGTGACGCGGCGCGACAAATAAAGATACTATTACATATATAGAAAAGCTATTTCCTCGATGTACGTTTTCTCAGGTCTACTTTGGATGGAATTTTATTCTCATTATAGATTATAGTATGCGAGGAAAGAAATAAAAATAAAATTTTTCCTTTTATAAGGTGAAAAAACTAGTTAAAGTCGTAAACTTGTTTATTATGTATATCTACTGATGAGTATTCTCACTAGTATCCTGTACAGATTAACGAATCCTAATGATCTTGCCTTTGTCTCGTCCTTCAAATAACATAGTGGCAAATTGTTATGTGGTGAAGGAACAAGTGGGTGAGAAAATGGACGGGGGGAGGGGAACGTCTGCGCGTGTGTTTGAGACAGGATGTGATTTATGAAATAATCTCCTTGAAGTAGAATTTAATTGAGCGGAGGCGAGGCAAAACGAAGACCAGTGGTGTTTCTTAACCCCGGGATGGATTAACGGCGGATCTTGATCAAGCGCGGCCTCCGCAACAATTTTGGGACCTGCAACGGGTTACGAATTGACCCCGAGAGGTCAAATTCCTCTGAGCTCCTAGCTGAAGCTCACACCTGGCCTTTTCGCGAAAGTCAGGAGTACTTCGTGTCGATGCCTCATTCTTACGCTGCAAACATAATTTTGTTGTTGAAAAATATTTTACTTAATTATTTTCATTTTCCCATGCGTTTGTCGTATGATTTCTATCTTTATAGCACATTATTTCCGTCATTTAACTTGATTTTTAAGAATTAGTC